CTACAAGCTCCACCATGCCAGTGCTCTTCCTTGCCCCAGGACTGCCACCCAGAACTGTGACTCAGATCCAAACATGGGCAAAGCATGGGCAAAGCAAGAGAATCCTGCACCAGCAGAGAGATCCCTGCAATCCCCCTCTGATCACCCACATGATTCCCTCTCAGTCTGTGGGCTGGAAGCTCAGGAAGCAGCCGCCACCCCAAGGAATGGGGCTGGGTCCTGCACTCTTCTCTCACCACTGCAGTCACAGACTTTTCCCACTGACCTTCTAAGCTGTCTTTGGCGTTAGTGGGTTGAGAAGTCTGGAAACTGCCACAGCTGCCCGAGATTCAGTCCTCTGAGGCCTGCTCCAGGTAAGCTGATGCCTGAGCACCCACGCCGAACTGTGCTCCTCTCCCAGCCTGGCACGATATACCTTTCTGATCAACCATACAGACTGTCTTTGGCTGGAAATTTGTTTCACTCTGTCTTTTTGTGGGTTCTGCTGCTTTAGAATTTGTTTAGAGCCATTTTTTACAGGTATTTGGAGGGGTTTGGGGGAGAGCTCCAGCAAGTCACTGCTTTTACTCTGCCATCTTGGCTCTGCCCCCCAGGAATTACTTACATTGATAAAATCATAGCTTCAATAAAAAAGTTCCAAATCTACCACCCTAAACCTGCTCCCTCTTCAAAAATTCTGTATTTCTCTTAACATTATAGTCTCTAGTGTTAATTCCTCTCCTAAATTCAGCACAGAATCTCCAGTTTCCTGCTTGACTTCTCCACCCAGATATCTGTCAGTCAATCAGCAATTACTTAAGAGTGTACCAAGGCCAGGCAAATAACCTATCTGCAATTAATACACTAGACTTGAAAGCCAAAAGATAAAAAATCAATCAATGTCCTATCCTCAATTAGTTGACATTCTTTTGGTGTCTAAAATGTGGAGATCCTGAAAAAATGCATAAATACTGTTGTCCCCTCCTAAAAGCTAAATATTATTGTAATTGCCAGCTACAACCCGATTAACTAAGTGAAAATGTCACTCAGGAAATTTCTTCCTTCCTTGGTATGAATCAGTAACAAGAGAAGGTAAAAAACTAGACAGTTCAGTTTTTAAGTGCACCAATTTTATCCATGGTGATTTCAGCCACCTTAAGAATTTGGAAGGGGGGCCAAAGGATATCAATAGGTAGTTTTCAGTCAAAGAAATCAAAACTATCTATAGTCATATGAAAAAAATGCTCTAAATCACTATTGGTCAGAGAAATGTATATTAAAACAACTCTGAAGTACCACCTCACACCTATGAGAGTGGCTAATATGACTAAAAAGGAAAATGTTGGATGTTGGAGGGGATGTGAAAAAACTGGGACACTAATACACTGTTGGTAGAGTTGTGAACTGAGCCAACCATTCTGGAGAGCAATTTGGAACGATGCCCAAAGGGCAATCAAACTGTGCATACCCTTTGATCCAGCAATACTACTACTATATCCCAAAGAAGTCATAAAAAAGGGAAAAGGACCAACATGTGCAAAAATATTTATAGCAGCTTTTTTCATGGTGGCAAAATATTGGAAATTGAGGAGATGTCCATCAATTGGGGAATGGCTGAACAAGCTGTGGTATATGATTGTAATGGAATGTTATTGTGCTATTTAAAAATGACAAGCAGGATGATTTCAGAAAAACCTGGAAAAACTTACATGAACTGATGATAGTGAAATGAACAGAACCAGGAGAACACTGTACACAGTAACAGTAACATTGTGTGATGATCAACTATGATAGACTTAGCTGTTCTCAACCATGCAATGATCCAAGACAATCCCAAAGGACTAATGATGAAGCATATTAACTGCCTCCAGAGAAAGAACTGATATTGATTGAATACAGATTGAGCATGCTATTTTTCACTTTCATTTTTTTTCTTTTATTTGAGTCTTCTTGTACAAAATGACTAATATGGAAATGTTTTACATAATTGGACATCTATAACCTATATCTGATTGCTTACTTTCTCAGCAAGGGTGGGGGGGAGAAAGGGAGGGAGGGATAGAATTTGGAACTCAAAATTTTAAATAAAAATATTAAAAAAATTTTAAAAGGATATATGAAAGGTAAATTATAGATAGATGTTAGAGACGTCACATTAAATACTATCCACAAGAATATACCTGGAGAAATAATTTCCAGTGGGATTGCGTTCTGGCCTTACTAGCTATGTGACTCTGGGAAAGTCACTGAAACTTGTTTGCCTCAGTTTCCTCATCTATAAAATGAGCTGGAGAAGGAGATAGTCCAGTATTTTTGCCAAGAAAACTTCAAATGGGGTTACAGTCAGTTGGACACAACTTAAAATGACTGCCTAACAACAAAGAGTTTGGAAAGAGCAGTACACATAAAGTTAGGTTGAATACCCAATATCTGCTTCATACCCCTAGTGGGATAGAACGGTTGCCAAATCACTCAGCTCTTAATAGCCGCTTAGCTAATTTTAGGCAATATTTCCCAATATCTGCTTTTCTGGCACTAATAAAATATTTGTCCACTTAAGTGTTTATGGATATTGCTGTCCAGAGCTGAAAAGGGTGTGGAATTGAAAAGGTGGGGTATGGGAGGGACTCCAGAGCTAAGAGCTGTACAGAGGTGATAATATTATACTAAGTGTTTAAATAACTGTACCCAGTGTTAATTAATGACTGTGTCAACCCTCCAGGAAGTCTCAAATGACTTGGAAGAAGAGAGAAGACATGTTAATTAATCTGCAAAAGGTATCAAATGGGGGGAAATAGTTAATAAGGAGCAGTCAAGATTAAAAATAATTTGCCCCAGTTGGAGTGACTTGAAGTAAAGATGAAATTTAACAGGAACATATGGGAAGTCCTTCTAAGAAAGTCCTACTATATTCCAATGTCTTATAGTGGCACTGGGCTCCTAAAGGCTACATCAGTTGAACACAAGCTTCTAACTGTCCATACCACGCTAGGAAGGCTGTCAGTATGGTGTTGGACTGTATATCTGTAGTGTGATGATCAATCAATAAACACTTATTGACCACCTATATGTGCCAGGCACTGTGCTAAGCGCTAGGGACACAAAAAGAAGGTAAAGACGCTCTGCCCTCAAAGAGCTTACAGTCTAACGGGGGAGCCCATGTACAAACAAACATATAGAAGGAGAGCTATATATGGCAAAAATAGGGAACAATTAAAAGAGTAAAGACTTGTTGTTACTACTATTAGGAGTAATAAAAACAAAAACTAGCATTTATATAACACTTTAAGGTTTGCAAAGCTCTTTACAAATATTATTTCATTTGATCCTCACAACCCTGCAAGTAGGTGCTATTATTATCCCCATTTTACAAATGAGGAAACTGAGGCTGAAATTAAGTGACTCCTCCAGGGTAACCCCTAGAAAGTGTGTGAGGCTGGATTTGAACTCGTTTCTTTAAAATAAAGGGGATAATCCGGACAACCACTAAAGTTTCTTGCAGGGTTCATATTCTCACGCCCACCCTCTTGATGTAGGCGGAGCTGCTGGAAGGTTGGCTCAGGAAAGGGGAAGGAAGGAAAGTTGACCGAGCCTCACGTGCGCCAGGTGCGCACCCCGCATGCGCAGCTGCCAGAGCGGACCCTGCAGAACGCGGAACCAAAGGGCCCGGGGTGCGCCGAGAACTGGGACGAGCGCGCGCTGCGCCGCGGGCGGAAGTGTCCGGGCAGGGCCGGCACTGGCCCAGGAGAGCGGAGCATGAGGGTACTGGCGGGCGCACTGTGGAGCGCGGCCGGGGCCGCCTGGCGGGGCGGCTTCTCCTTCGCGGGCCAGGACGTGGCGCGCTGGTTCCCGGGACACATGGCCAAAGGTGAGAGTCGGGGAGGAGGCCCCGAGAGAGGTCGCACCGCAGTCCTCCGCTCCCGAAGGCGCTCTGGCCTCTGACCCCCGCTGGGCATGCGCAGAAGGATTCGCCCGGCCGGCCTGTGCGTGCAGTGCCACCCGTATTTATTAAGCGCCTACTGTGTACGCGAGACCCTTTGCTAGGCCCTGGGGTGCAAAGAACCAAAATGACCCCCGCCTCCAATGACCCTCTTAATGCTGCCGCCTTTCCTCTGAGTCTCCTCCATTGATCCTGGCTCTAGTTTGTGCGCGCGCGGTGTCTCCCCGTTAGACTGTGAGCTCGAGGGCGGGGACTGCCTTCTGCTTAGCACTTAGCACAGGGCGGGGCACGTAGTAGGTGCTTAATAAAGGCTAGGTGTTGACTTGTAGAGCAGACCTCCAGTAAATGCTTGTGGTTGACCTTTCGCTGCCGGGGGATGAAATCCCTCCCATGGGCCGGGTTTGGTGTCGGGAGAACTCTCCCCCGGTGATTTTGGGCAAGTCACTTAACCTTTCTGCGCCTCAGTGTCGAGGGCTGCAAAAATGAAGGGATTGTTGGGTTATCTTTGAGGCCCCCTCTAGCCTTAAGTCTGCTATTGACCAAGGTGCCACCTCCTTCCTGAAGCTTCCTGCCCTCTTCTTAGCTGGAAATGAGCTTCCTCCTTTAAATTCCTCAGAGCATTTTGGACCTCTCCTTTGCACTTAGCACATTCAGTTCAGCAAACTTTTATTAAGTGACTGTCTATAAGACATGTAGGTGTGCGGGACCCAGCACTCAGATTAAGCTAGGGAGAAGACATCTCCACAAATAACTGATACAAGGGAGAATGACAAAGGAGAGAGCCAGATAAAGCGCTATGAAAAATTTGGGGAAGGAGAGATGGCTTTCTCTTGAGTGGTCTGGGAAAGCTTCATGGAAGAGTTGGGCTTTTGAAGGAAGGGAAAGACTTAAGTAGATAGAGATTGTGGAATGGAAAGGGGAGAGTGAATCTAGGCATGCAAAATGGTATGAACAAAAGGAAAAAGACAAGAGGACAGGAAAATAATGAGTTTTTTTTTTGAATATTCTGCCATGTAAATATTTTCATACATGTCTTTCTCAATGCTTTTAAGCTCTTTGAGGGTAAGAACTGTCCTGTTTCTCCTTTGTCAAACATTGCCTCCATAGTGCCAGCTAAGCATAGTACTCTTTTAGACGTAGTAGGTTTAATAAATGTTGAACTGAATCACGTACTTTTTGAGACAGTTGTAAGGAAAGTCGAATGTAAATTCTAATCATGCTTCAAGCATGACTTCTTTTTTTAAAGTTTAGTGTTTTTTTCCAGTTAAAAGTATTTTCTCGTCCTCTTACCTCCTCATTGGGAATTGGAGAAAAGAAAGAAGGAAAAACAGAACCCTTGTAACAAATATGCATAGTCAAACAAAACATTCTCTCTTTGGCCATATTAAAAAAAAATAACGTAAATCTAATTCTATACTCTAAGTCCATCACCTCTTTTTCAGGTGGGTAGCATGTCAAGCATGATATCTTAATGAAATTCAGGGAGATTAATTAAATTAATTAAATTCAGGAAGAAGATTAATTCACTGTATGTGCATTTCAGCCTCTTTAGTAAAAAGAACATGTTATAATCATTTTATTTCTTAAGAAATGAGGGTGTTATTGAAAGTTTTATTGATAGCACCTTACTTCCTGGCCAGTGTTTTTCACATTGCCCCTGACCTTCCAATGAATTTTTGTTTTTCTCAATAGCTCAAACCAGTGGAGTCATTAAATCTTTTAATGATTTTAGAGGTATTTTTGGTCCAACCCCAACAAAAAGCTTGAATACTTCTATTAGGTACTTAATTATTTCCTTGGCAATTTTCCCTGATAAGTGACTATCTGGCTCTTACTTGAAGATTGCCTTACTTTTGAAAGCAGGCCATTATACTCTTAAGTAGTTTTAATTGTTAGGAAATCTTTCTCTAGATTGAGCAGAAATCTGCTAAAACAGAAAGGAAATTGGTAAATGAATATATGAAAATTCATGTATATTTGTATTCTATTGGGGTGAATAATAATTGCTATATTGTTAAAGTTCATGTTAAATACAGATTCTTACCCTGTCTTCTGTGGCTGCTCCTAAAGCACTCAGTAATTAGTAACTCATATTTTTATAAATTTTAGGATTTGTACAGTACTACCCTATGAGGTACTACAAACTACCATAGGTACTGTACTGTACTATGTCAGTGTCTCCATTTAACAGATACAGAAACTAAGGTGCTGTTGGTGAAGTGACTTGTTTGTAGTTACACAGCTATAAGTTTCTGAAGCAGGATTGAACCCAGATCTCATGATTCTAGGTGCAGAACTATTTCTACCCTGTCTTAGCACCTTCTCTGTTTTACAGGTCTCAAGAAGATGCAGAGCAGCCTGAAGCTGGTAGATTGTATCATAGAGGTGCACGATGCTCGGATATCCTTCTGTAGTACTGATTATCTCCCCAAAGGAATTGGCTCATAGTAGGGCAGGAAAAACATTTGGATTTGTCTTCCAGTGTTTACGGTTGACCCTTTCTCCTATCTCCCAAAGTTTCTTCTGCCCTCAGTATTCTTAGTCTAGTGAGCTTCCTGGAGTTGTCTTTGGTCAGAACTGGCCCTAGTGAGTTCTGTTAAGAAGACAGTAAATATAGTGTCATCCATCATGCGTTTGCCTTAACAGGTGTCCAGTGTATTTTGGATCAAAGTGATTAATTTTGACATTTGTAAGAGCTTGATTAGTTTAAAATGAAAGTTCTCAGCCAGAAGAGCCCAAGTGGAACTTGTCCCTTTGTGGGTTGACAGATTGTTTTGGGCATCTTACTTACAGTTGTTTGTCATTTTGATTATCACTAGAAAGCAAAGAGAGTAATTCCATATGCTAATTAAAGTATCAATGGTTTCTTTTTGAGCAGCTAACATTTTTTCATGCTCATTCAGAGAGGCCTTTCTAGTAGAGGAAGAATCCTTTATAAATGATCTTTAATGTTTAACCAAGGATGAAAATATTAGGTAACAATGTGATACGATAGTCCACTGAAAACAGTATTGAAAAGACATTGGTTCTGTTGCAGGTAGGTAGGAATGTGCAAGTCTGAGTACTGGTCTCAAACTGTGGGGCTTTGTCTTTCCTGTGTCTTGCCCTTCTGAGAGTTTCAGAAGAAGAATCCCACTTCTTACATAATCGAATTAGAAAGGATTTATGCGTCTGGAAATATAAGAACTTTTCCCTTAATTTTAGAACATTCCATTATCTGGTCGCAATCCTTTGTTCCAGGAAGCTCTTGGAATTAAGCCTCACCTACTTGTACTTAACAAGATGGACTTGGCAGATCTTAAAGAGAAACAGGTATGTTTATAGTCATCTTGTTTATAGTCATCTTCAGCACTGTCACTTACTGTTCTCTAAAGGTGTTCCTTGTCTGGTACATTGCTTCAAGCAAATATAGAATGGGTTTATGCAAATAATAGTTTGGAGAACAGATATTTGATTTAACAAAAAATCTTTATTGTTTCTTCAAATTAACTTCTATGGTGCATTTCAAATATGGATTCCATTTACCAAAATCTGATTTGCGTATAACTTCTCAGGAATTCATTTTATGGCATTTGTGTTATCACAGGAATAACCCTTTTTATGATGGTCAGTAATAAGCTGGTATATGTCCAGTTGAAGAGAGCCAGGATTATGAGAGGAAGCAAAATCATGTCACATGAGCAACAGCAAAAGATCTGGGGGGTTGAAAGAAAGGGGAGGAGGAGTGAGATTAATCCTAGGAAGACAAGCCTTTGGAAGGGCGTGGTAGGGCTTGAGATTTGTGAAGAACTGTTATGAGGAACAGAAATTAGCTGCAGTTCATGTGTCTAGGGAAAGGAAAACTAGGAGCAATGGGTAGAGGTAAGGATGCAGGTTCCGCAGACTATAACTTCGTTACAGTAGAGATGACTGAAAATGGAGTATGCTGGCCTGGGAGACAGTTTCCTGTTATAGGAGGTGTTTATATAAAACCCAGATTTTTTGTGAATTCCATAGTTTGGAAAACATTTATTTATTAAATACCTATTCTGTGCTAGGTACCAGGAAAAATGTAAAGTAGAGATAAGATACAGTCCCTACTCTTACGGAAATTATGGCCCAGTAGGGGATATGACACAAATAATAACTTTAGTACAAAGTAATATCTATAAATATCTGAGGTATGAAGGAAAAGGTATCATTTAAGTTGGATCCATAGTACAGATGGGAATTCAGCAAATTGAGGATGGGAAGAGCTGTTGCAGGTATAGAAAACAGCTTTAACAGAAACATAAATGAATGAATGAAAAGCATTTATTAAGTACTTATTACATGGCAGGCCTCTTGCTAAGGGCTGAGGATACAAATATAAAAGATAGTCCCTAAAGGGATGGTAAGCAGAGCCATAGGACAGTCAGGTAACGTGCCCTTTTCAAAAGCTATGATATTATTTATTTGATTCCAATATCCAGAGAAAATATGGGGATGGGAGAGTATGGTACCTGTATATTGGTCAAAAAATAGTCCAGTTTGGCTTGAGTAGAAAGTACGTGGAAGCGGATAATGTGACCACAGCTTGGAAAGGTTGGTTGGTGCCAGATACTTTAAGGCCTTGAATGGTAGATTAAGCAATGTGAATTTTCGTGTTAAACAGTAGGGAACCATGGAGGGATTTTGATTGGAGATTTGAAATGACTAGATCTCTTCGTTGCTGTGACTTCCAAATAAAATGCATTCTTTCGTCTTTCAACTTCAGTCATGTTGAAATCCTTTAATGAATCAGAGAATTTTTAAGCCAAAAGGAAACTATTATATCATCATTTTGCGGGTGGGAATAGAAACAAGGCCTAGGGAGCTTGTGACTTTCCCAAGGATGAACAGTGGCAGAGGATCACTGGCGAGGATGAGAATCCTTCTCTTTGGGACCGTGTGATCACTGATCTGGAGTTAGAAGGGATCCCCATTTTTTTAAATGAGGAAACTGAGGCCCAGGAGGTTAAGTGACTTATGAAAGGTGACTCATGTAGTGATCATCAGAGGTGGGACATGAACCCAGATCCTCTTCACTGCAGATGCTCTTCCCACGCTGCCTGCAGCCCCTCACTTCTTCCCATTGGACTTTGGCCTAGAAGCCAGGGTGTCCTGGAACATTTTTGCAGTGTTACTTTGTTTTGAAATGTTGCACTTTGAGTTTCTTTTCTGTTTAACAAAGAGTAAGATTTCTTTTGAAATTACACCTGGATATTTTGCTAGGTTACTAGCAGTGCAAAATGCCCCTTTGTTGATGTTCAGTAGCAATCATAGGTTTCAGATTGCTCACTCCATTGTGTAACCTCTGAAATGCATAAAGCCTAAGCGTGCGACTTTCAACCACAGCCTTTTCTAAGCTAACATTGAAGCACAAACCCGCTCTATTATTGTTCATTTTGGAAATTCAAAACCCAGCCTTTGGGTATTGATGGCATTTTGCATCATGTGATCCTCACCCCAACTGTGCATGCATCTGGTAATCTTAACTAAGAATCAGAAACATCCCTGCTGTGCAACACAAAGCAGTTACGGTTCCCCTGAGAACAAGCAATTGTACTTAGTACTTCTGAGTGCTCACATTTGCAGCTTTAGTTCGTATTAGTACCTTTTTTAAAAAGTATTTTATTGATGCACTTTGTTTTCACATCACAGTTTTGGGGGAGATGGAGGGAATAAGACCACCCTTTCCTTGCCTTGGCAGCTGGGGTGTAGCGGAGAGAGCACTGGCCTTAGAGACAGGAAGACCTGAGTGTGAATCCTGCTGCTTCAGACACTTCCTGGCTGGGTGATCCTGGGCAAGTCACTTTATCTCTCTGCCTCAGTTTCCTCCTCTGTAAAATGAGGATAATAATAGCACCTACTTAATAGAGTTGTTGTAGAGAATCATGTGAGATAATATATTTAAAGTGCTTTGTTGCCGTAGAAATGTTAGTGCTCTATACAAAGGAAAACATGCAAAAACACCCAATTGAGTGACTGACAGAAAATGTACACAATAATGTACCCTGGGAGTCACCATCCCCTCTACCCTAAGTAGGGTAGAGAAGAGAGCTTTCTTTTAGTATCTCTTTCCTGGTACCATCATTTTTTTTTTTCCAAAAAGACTTTTTCTTTCTCTTTTCAGATGCATTTTTATTTGAAGTTTCTGAATATTTTCGGTGCTTAAATTGACTTTGGCACAAGAAGCTTCTTTCCTCTAGGGAGAGAGTGTGGAATCCCAGAACACTGGGACTCTCATGTGATGCAGGACAGCAATGTCATTCCTATAAGGCACAAAAAAAGAATGTGTCCACATTTCCCAGAAGGGGACTTCTGAGGAGTGATAGAGCTTCTTTGTTCTCCACCACTAGCCTAGCACAGCCAGAGCTCTGCTCCTGGGAAGGAGTGTAGGGACCAAGACTGTGGTTTTAAATCTGCCCACCCACCCTGCTGGGTCCACAGTGAAGCAGGAAAACAGAAATGTTCCAGTCACTGACCAGAATGGCAGGAGGACAAGATGGTTTTTGTATATTAAAATAAGAGAATAGGACTAATAATTTTGAAATGTATATATGTTTACATAGTAGAAGTCTCAATTGGAACCGAATTAAGTGGCTAGTTATTGAAATAATAAAAGAAAGATCTGTCTTCCTCACATTGTCCAGATAAGTATTACTCATGATTGAGGTCAGCAGTATCTGGCAAAACATTTTTTGAACATCTTTAACTTAGTTGCTGAATATGGCACATGTCAAAATTTACTAGCTTGATGCTGACATTAGCAACGTTTTGAACTTTTATTGTAACCTGCATGTTACTTTGCAAATTAAGGTGGGTCAAAGTTTAAGGATGATTTTGGTTTTCTCAGAGTTGGTGAATACAAGAGTACCAATTCTGTCCAACTGTTAGTTGTTGTCCTTCATTCTTGAAGAGGACCAAAATGATATCATTATGTTGAGGTCAAGGTACAGTGTGTCTTACTGTGGCTGATCAGAGCAATATGAGCTCAGAAGGCTCTACCACAGGTCAGGCATAAATAGTCCATGTGAACATTTGGAGTGGGGATGTCTCTAAATTTGCACATCTCATGTCTCTTTTGAGCTATTGCAATTCTACTTTGCTCAGAGAGCACAGCACCTTCTTCGATGTGGGCGTGTCATGCCAGTGTCTCCCATGTTTCACAGTTGATCCCAGAGTTCTTCAGAGAGACCTTGAGAAAGTCCTCATATCACTTCCGACCTGTGTGGGAGGCTTGCATTATGTGAGACGTTCTATCCAACTAAAGTTGAATGGAATCAACCAGTTTTCATACTGGGAGAAACCAACCTCATTTTCCAAATCAAAAAGCAGAAAGTCAAAGAGGTGGATTGACCTGACCATGGTCATGCTGAAAGTGGTGACAGAGCCTGCACTACATAGAAGCCAAGTCCTTAGTCTTTTCCATTAGATCACACTGTTGCTGACACTTGTATTTATTATTTAATATAAAGTTATTTTGTCTTTTTTAGAAAATTGTGGGGCACCTGAACAAAGAAGGAGTGAAAAATGTAATTTTTACCAATTGTTTAAAGGATGAAAACATAAAACAGGTATTTTATTTTCTTCTGTTCAGAAACTTTCTATTTAATGTTGTAAAGATAGATAGGACTAAAGACTTATTCATCTCAACAAGTTCTAAGTATTGATTTTCCAGTTGCCTTTATTCGCAGTTATAAATCTCTTGGGCCAGTGCTTCCTGAGTCTCTTCCATAGGACCAATCTCTGAGGCATTCTGTAGTGAATATTGAAAGAGCAAAACATCAGGACTTAGGCCTGTGAGGATTTCTAGGCCCTTTCTGGAACATAGCTCATTTTCCTTTGCAGAGGATATTTCACACTTTGACTGTTTCTTCTTGTGTTAAGTGATATTTTCAGTTATGTCTCACTTCTCTAAATAAAGCCTAAATGAAATCACCTGGATGAGAGAGAAGTAGTACCTCATTTTATGAGGGTAGGATTAGAGCACAGAGCAGTTAAGTTGTTCTTAAAGGTTGGAGATCAGAATGGGATTCAGGTCTCCTGGACCTGTGCTTAAAAATTATTGCTTCTGTAAATGAAAAAAGAAAGCAAGTTTCGTACTAAAACCATGTAGGAAAACAGGTGGGATACAAGAGGTCATCATCGATGATTCCTTTAAGGAATGATGAGGGGGAAAAATACTATTGTCCCAGCCTTAAGTGCAAGGAAATTACTAATCTGTGTGGCCAAAGATCAAGCCCATATAACTGATTGTTTTTTATTGCTTTTTTTGGCAGATTGTTCCAATGGTTACTGAACTGATTGAGAGTGGCTACCGCTATCATCGAGGAGAGGTCAGCTGAAAGGGCGAAAATTGGGAAGTAAGAGTGTTGAGGAGTTCTGTAATGAAGCTATCATGTGGCAAATTTATAATCTGAAGCAGGAACTATGGGCCACAAAGAAAATACATTTGCCAGGCATAAATGTATTTTTCTGTATTATGATAGTTTAATACCCTCCTCTTCACTCCTTCCAGTAAAAACAGAGTTGGAATGCTCCCAGAAGTGGTTTTTTTATTGCATCATTAATGACCTTGTTTAAATTCTTGACTGATCCTGAGGCTAGCTTTCCTCTGGTATTTATATCAGCATAAGGGAATCTAGTGTGACCCTGGAGCCTGCCTCGCAGTAGTACTGGGCTTCCCTTTCTTACTCAGCTCTTTGTTACAGAACCTGGAGTATTGCATCATGGTAATTGGTGTGCCCAACGTGGGCAAGTCCTCACTCATCAACTCACTCAGGAGGCAGCATCTCAGAAAAGGTACTGGCTTCTTAGTACATTTTTATGCTTTTTTTGACTTACCTTTGGAGAAACAGACTTGGGGGAGCAGAGAAGACTGCTGGGGAAAAAATAAAAGGGAAGATTTGTTTTGCATTTTTCTCCCCATTGACCTAACAAAAAAATTGCTATAGACTAAAAACTCATAGAGATTTATCCTAATGCTTTTTTTCCCTGTTAAGAAGCTCTGCCTGAACGCCTAATGTAGTAATGGATTTAATATTGACCAGGGAGTTAGGAGGGTTGAGTTCCATTCTATTGGAAAGTTTTTTCTTAGCTTCATGTTCAATCTTGAGCAAAACATTTCCATTCCTATATTTTTTCCATTTGTAAAATGGGAATTTTTTTTTGCAAGCTTTGATGATTCCTTTAGTTGATTTATGTTTGAAGCAAACTGAACTGGATAATCCAAAGTACTGTGGACTCTACAGAACTTTCATCTCCTAGGGACTATCCTTCAGAGTTGTTTCCTTGGCAGCCCATATGGTTATCCAGAGAGGTTTGTTTCTATTGCTCACATTTGGAATTCGTCTTTTTGGAACTACCATCAAAGTCCATTTATGGACCACACAAGAAAATATGATGTCCTTTCTGGTCATCTTGATTTTTAACCCCAATCTTGGTCCTAACTTGCTTGTTACGGCAGCCATTAACTGGTATGTAGCTATAGCACATCAAAAATTTTAGGTCTTTGACACACTTGAAATTAAAATTCAGTTTATAGAACTTAAGTGAAGTTTTCAGCATTCTAGAAGAGCAGTACAGTTCTAGTTATGTGGTAGCCATTCAACAAATGAATCAAAAATTTTACACTTTCGGTATAAATTTCTGAGCCAAGAAATCTGCTATGATACTTCTGAGACCCACGTCCCTAGTCCCCTCACCTCAAATTCCTGATTCAATGAATGGGGATGAAGGCAGGGGAGGGTTTCACTGCTCATTGGATAGTTTATATTCTAGACAGTCGGTCTTGCACTGTGCTCAGCTTTACCAGGTTCTTAATAAATGTTTGTGACATTGAATTTAATTTTTAGACTACATGGTAAGTTTGTAATGAATTTGACTTTTTCTTTTTCTCTGATAGGAAAAGCCTCTCGGGTGGGTGGTCTGCCTGGGGTCACGAAAGCAGTTATGTCCAAAATTCAGGTAGTGTATATTTGACTCTTGGCACAGGAGATCCAAATCATTCCTTTCTTGATCTCCCTAGAAGTAGAAGGAAGGGAGCTGTTTTTTGCTCCCTCGATTTTTAAAGAAATGAATTGGGAAGTAAATCCTTATATTTTTCTCAGAGTATGATGAAAATGATGAAGGTAAATAATGAGTTACTGTCCTGTAGAACTCAAGACCTCTCTTTTATGACCCACTAATGCAGAAACCATGTTGGGCTTTGTTCAACATAGTGCTTTACAATGCATTGCTGAATTCATTGGGACCTCATGGAAATCCATCAGGCTAGAGATGTATTCTAGTCCTAGTCCAGTCATTGAGTCAGTCACTTAAACATTCTTGGTCTCCATTCCTGAAGTCGCAAAACAAAGATTATAAAGTGCTAGAACTTTTCCTGAATGTGGTAACTTCTGGAGCAGAATTCAGTATGAGGTGCATGCAACGGAATTTAGTCCCCGGAGCACTGAGAAGATCCCACAGTAACCCAGCAGGATTTATAGTGCAAAGAGCTTTGAGCTGTGGGACAGAAGCTTGTACCTTCATCCTGTCATGAGCAGCTCACTTTCTTCCTCAGAGTCTCGGATTCCTCATTTGTAATTTGGGAGTAATGTTGGTGTTACCTGCCGCAAGTGGTGGTTGTGAAGATTCAGTGCATTCAAGTGTAGGATATGCTTCATAACTTTAGGCAGAGAACTCAAAGCCAGCTCCCATCTGCTTGGCTGAGTTTGAAGGTAAATAAAAGGGTGTATTGTTTAGCAAAGCATTCAGTGTGATGTTCTCAGTGGTTGGAGGATGGAGATTGAATAGACAGCAGGCCTTTGATTTCATTGGAATGGGGAACTCCCAGAAGAGGAAACCTTGGCATTTTCTCTGTAACTTAAAATCTTTGCTATGAAGAGCATTGAGAGTGATTTGCCCACAGGGTCCCACCTCTGGGATGTGTTTGGGGGGAAAGGGAGAGACTTGAACTTATGTCCTCCTGGCTGCAAGACCAGCTCTGTACTCAGGACATCTTGCTGCCTCTCTAGTATTAACAGCTAATTCCTTCCCAAATCTATGCTTTCTTGAAAAAAAAAGAAAGGACTGGTGAGAGTGAGGGGTAACTGATGGACCAACTCTTTATTTCCTCCCCTGCTCTTTTTGTGATATGAAGCGAAATTGAGCATGGTCTCCTTCAGGCTGAGTGGGATGAACTTACAGGACAGAGGGTGTGGACAAGAGTTGACCAGAGTCATCAGGCAAAGACAGGCTGTGACCTGTGTCTTTGGAGAGAACAGCTTGTGTCTGGGAGTTCATGGATCCATTAGAGAATTTGAGTGGCTCTATTATTGTCATAATCAGGTGCCACCAAACCTTACTCTGATGCTTCTTTGTGAGTTTGGTTGTTGGGTTCTTGAGAGATGGGCCCAGTAGAGTGTGAGCTTGGGCATAGCTTACCAGTCTGGCAGGGTTTGGAGCGTGAGCCCAGTGACATCATCTTTATCTGTCGGTTGAGGACCAGTCTAGCTAATTTCAGACAGGCTGGTCACTGGGTGAGTTGTAGGCAGATGAATTTTTCAGCTTCCTTGACTCTTCATCTAAGCCAGGCCTGCACAACTTGTGGTCCTTTGGTGTGCTGCGAGTGGCCTGAGGGCTGCAAGTTGTGCAGGCCTGATCTAGGCAATCTAAGCCATAGGGGCCAGTGTTCTACCTATTGGAGGGAATACTCATACCAGTAAATCATAGATTCCTGAAGTTGATATTAATGCTATTTCTCAATATCTTTCTCTAGAAAGCTGAGACCCATTACATACATTCTCTAAAGTTGCCTATATAACATTCCCATTTTGCCGGTGTTGTTGCTTGTCCTCTATTTATTTATTTATTCATTTATTTATTTATTTATTTGGGGTTAAGTGACTTGCCCAGGGTCACGCAGCTAATAAGTATCAAGTGTTGGAGGTAGGATTTGAACTTGGGTCCTCCTGCCTCGAGGGCCTGTGCTCTATCCACCGCTCCACCTAGCTGTCCCCGTCCTTCATTTTTGAAGAGGACCAGTGAATCACTAGAAAGAGAATCATAGAAGGCTTTTTACTTATCTCGGTCAATGGCACAGCAAGAAAAAGACCCTGACTTTGCAGCTGTTAGACTAGTTAGATTTGTAGCTTCAAGATCAGCCTGTCCTTTTAGTAGTGATAGTTTGTGGGCCCTTGTTGGCCTTAAGTGCCATGGCTATTGCTTTCACTGTTGGCAGAGTAAAGAGGACCCTCCTCCTGCGATTATTTTTTCCATATGCTAGCACACTGCTTGGCGTAGAGTAGGTGCCTAGTAAATGCCTTCTTGGTTGATCGTCTCTCTTGTTGATGGATTCTGTGTGTGCCCAGCCAGGTGTGTGAGCGGCCTTTGATGTTCCTGCTGGATACTCCTGGAGTGCTTGCTCCACGGATCCAGGATGTCGAGACTGGGCTGAAGCTGGCCACCTGTGGTGAGCTGTGCTTACGTTGTTCTCTAGCATCTCTCCCCATTTATGCGTGCTATATCGAAATGTGGCCGTATTGGCTGCTCTTGTCTCCTTTTTTCCTCTGTTATTTTCTGCTGCTTCTACAGGTGTGAGCAGAAGGTGATTTCTCATCGAGAGCACCTCCTTCTCCAGCTAGCCAGCTTCTCTGTGTCTTTTTTCGCTATACAAATTTTTATGTACTTCTGATAGATTGATTGGGCAATTCTGTACTCTATGGGACTCATCCTCTCCCTGTGTTTTCACATAGGAACTATATTGGACCATTTGGTAGGAGAAGATATCATTGCTGATTATCTTCTTTTCACACTTAATAAGCAACAGCAGTTCCGGTAAGTAAATAGAATGACATTTATCCAGACTCTCCCACATGTTAAGTTTGTCTAAGATTATTCTGTCTTCTGGACTTTTCTCGGTTTTATCTATCGATTGTGGGTTTTGTTGTCCTCATCTTTATATAGTCAGAGTCACAGAATTTCAAAATTGGAAGTCATCTCAGTGTTCATCTAGTCTGGTCTATACCCTCCGAAGAATCCTTGCTACAACATACTTGACAAGTGGTCATTTGGCCTCTGCTTAAAGAATTCCATTTGAGGGGAACTTTATTCCTTCCTGGGTCACCCCATTTCACTTTTGTATAGCTCTAATTATTAGGAAAGTTTTCCCAGAGACAAAGCTACGAGTGATAGAAAATATATTGGAGGGCAGAGTAAGGACGTAAAAACATTTTGACAAGATATGAAGTCTGACCAAATCTAAGGTGACATTCAGAAGGAATAAATGTAGAATCTTGAGCTTGGAATAAAAAAAATGGACTTTGCAAGTGCACTGTGGGCAAGGCATGGCCAGATAGTTGTTCATCTGAAAATGACTTGGGTACTTGGTGGCCTACAAGCTCAGTGTGAATCAGAAGCATTATGTGGCAGCCAAAAAAGCTCCTGTAATCTTTGGTTGCTGCAAAGGAGGCTTTTTATGCAATAGTAGGAGGGGACAGTCCTGCTGAGCTTTGCTTTGGTCACAGTACGTCTGAAGTACTGATTTCAGTTCTGAGACCCACTTTTTAGGAAGGCTATTCATAGATGATGACCAAGGACTGGGAAGGCATATCCTTGAGAATAGACTGTTGGGGGTGGGGTGGGGTGGGGAGTCGAATAGGAGAATGATACCAGTCTGACCTCAGTCATGAGGCTCAGTCAGGGCTTTCATGTGGAGGAGAAATTACACTTGTTCTCCTTGTCCACAGAGGGCAGAACGAACAGTGTGTGTAAGCTGCAGAGACAGATTTTGGTTTGCTTTAAGGAAAAACTTCCTAAGGAGGCTTGGGGGAAGATAATTAGAATTGTTATTTCATTGGTCTAAGAACGCCTGCTTAGCTAACTCACTACTAAAGCTTTGTGATGCTCACACGTAACAGGATGCCTGGGGCAGTGAGAAAGGAGGAGTCCTTCCTGACTGCTCAGGGTGACACAACCAGCAAGCATCTGCCTTCCTGGGGGCTGGGTTTCTACCCAACATGCCGTTATGTCTGTCTTGACAACTGCAGACATCAACTTGTGAAAAATGGACTGATTTGTGAGGCCATGTGTTCCCCTTCCTTAAAGCCCTCAAGGGCTGAGTGGTTACTTATTAGGTCTCCCGGATGAGATTCATGTTCATCTGTGTGTTGGACTATGTGACTTCTGGGGACTCCTCCTGCCCTGAGGTTTTATGATTATGAGTTATATAAAGTGATTCTGGTAAGCAGTGTTGATTCCTGAACATTGACCTTCATGAAGGAGTTTTATTTCTTTAAAGCATGTTTTTTGAACAGCTGCTGCTTTGTGGAACTGTTTTTATTGAGTTCTTAAATACGTCTCTCTGGGTATTACAGGTATGTGGAGCATTATGACCTGGGGGAAGCTTGTGATGACATAGGAAGTGTGCTGAAAAGGATTGCTATGAAACTCAAGAAGATCCACAAAGTGAAAATGCTCACTGGGACTGGTGAGTCCTCAGAGGATGCAGACTGTGAAGATTGGGTCCCAGAGGGCACATTTAAGTGATTCAGTGACACCGTCTTTATGCCTTTCCAAGAACTGGCAGGGAACCAACCTCCTATATTGCCTCAATGGCAGAGATGCTGTGGGGTGAGAAAGTGCCAATCAGAGTGGGTCTCACCCTTCCTTAAACACATGACGGGGTGGATAGACAAAAAGAGGTTTTTGTGAGTGCCCGGACTTTCTAGTCCCAAGTTCTACCAGCAGAACCTGAGAAGTGCTGTGAATGACTTTGGTAACTCTTAAGCAAGAAAAAGAAAGAATTGAAAAGGATATAGAAAGAGGGGGTAAGAGTAAAAGAGGGAAGGAAGAGAGAGAGAGAGTGAAAAAAAAGATGTGCAAGGGCATGGTCTGTAAAAGATGCCAACAAGTTCCTCAAGAGCCAGGGCAGGTTTATCTCATAGTTTGTATGATAAGATATACTCAATCTTGCTTGTTTAGGGACCACCCCCCCCCCCCAAAAAAAATTCTCAACAGTGACATCATTAAACACGGCTGTTTTGGGCTTTGGGTCTTGCACTGTGGTGAAAGTCAGGATATAATTGACTTACAATATATTTTCACCTCATAGGTGATGTTAATGTAATTCAGCCTAACTATTCTGCAGCAGCCTATGACTTCATTCGAAACTTTCGAAGTGGGGTGCTGGGTCAGGTGATGTTTGACACTGCCATCCTGGAAGAACCCCAGGCAAACCACGACTCTGACTCCTGAGCCTGAGCAGTGAAAGTTCTTTTCTGTGCCCACTCCCTGTGTGGCCTCGGGCAAGTCACTTCACTTGTTGGGGCTCAGTTTCCTCATTTGTAAAATGAGGGAGTTGGATTAGAGGCCCCTTCTAACGCTAAAGGTGAAGCTCTGCAAGTCAAGTCCAGGAAGTAGCAAAATCTGAGGATTTGGCATCGATTTTCATCATGTCTTGGCAGAATAATAAAGTATAGTTCATGATTTCTCCCTATCAGTGACAAGTATATTTTCAGGGCTAGGGTCCATGAAATGGGATAATCATGGAATTGTTTTCAGATATGCTATGTGGGTTCCTTTAATAACAGCCTTTTCCTACTGTGGATAATAAAGGAATTAAAAAAAAACTTATTTGATACATTGTCAGCCAGCTGGGGGAGAGGGTCTTTTCTTTGATTTAATTGAATTTCACTTGCTGAAGATTTTGATTATCATCTGAAGCGGCCATACTCCAGGCCAAAGAGTTGTCACTTTGTCAAAAGTAGAACTTTGCTAGAGCAGTGATCCCTACATTTCTTGTTGTGAACCACCTTAGCACCACCTACAGCTTGGTTCCATGTGTTAAGTCCCTGCTTAGGAAAGACTCTAGTTTGAAATGTTCCTAGCTAGTTATTTTATTTTATTTTATTTATTTATTTGGTGAGGCAATTGGGGTTAAGTGTCTTGCCCAGAGTCATACAGCTAGTGAGTGTTATGTGTCTGAGGTCAGATTTGAACTCAGGTCCTCGCCTCCTGATTTCAGGGGTGGTGCTCTATCCACTGTGCCACCTAGCTGCCCCTAGTTATTTAAAAAAATTTATTGTTAGGAACTTGCTATTCATGCTTAGTGTTGCAGTATTCCAGAGATTCCATTGTTTTAAGAAATAATCAGCTTTCTAATATAGTGATTTATTTTCATATTACTTTCAAAACAAATAAAACCTTGATCAAATATGGTTGAAAAATACCTTGTGGTTTAATACAAGAACAGCTGCCATCCATCTTGTATTGTAGGGAGGAAGTCCAGCTAAAGTGATTCCATTGTTGCAACAGTATGTAATTGAAGCCTATGAAAGTCATCCAGACAGTGAGCCATATATACAAGTTGTATGTCAAGTAGAATAGCTTGTAAGACAAAAGACATCAGACCTACCTCTGAGCTCCTTTCGAGATAGAGTAAGTGAACAATAGTAGTCTTTATTTTTAAAAAATTAATCTATTCTTAACTAACAGTAGTAATTAAGATAGTAGAGAGAAATCATTCAACAAATGTTTATTAAAAAGAGTATGCTTTTCATAGTGTTTTAGTCAACTGAATTCTGCCTTACTAAAGTTTTTTTTGAGGATTTTATTGAAATAAATTATTTGAGGTTTTTAGCCTGTGCCATAATTCTAGAAAAGGCAGTATGGAGAAGGTCTATGGAGGGGTTCTTAACCTTTATTTTATAATCATAGATCCCTTTGGCAGTCTGGTGAAGCCTATGGGCGCAGTCTCAGAATAATATTTTTATGTGTAAAAAATAGAAGCAAACAAACTATAAGATTACAAAGGAAACCAACTATACTGAAATATAGTTATAAAATATTTTTAAAAACTTAAAAGGACTCCAGACTAAGAACTCTTGGTATAGAGTAAGGAAATACTGGTATCTGGAATGTTAAAAAGACCAGACATATTTGGGCTGTTAATACTTGTTCCTAGTATGATCACTCTAACCATGACAGGTGGGCACTTTCTGAAGCATTCCAGTATCATTGTTGAGGGTGTCTGTGTAGCAGTTTTAACAGCCAATGTATTGTATTCTCATAATCTCACACTGGATCATAGCATCATAATGTTTGGTGGGACTTTAGGTCACTTGGTATACCCTCTGATTTTATAAGGTTGCCCTTCTGATTTTATGGATAAGAAAACAAATACCTAGAGAGTGAAGTCACTTGTCTAAAGTACATTCACCTAAAAAGTAGGTTTGGGAACATTGATTCCATTCTGGGGAGAAACAGTAATAATTTTGAAACTTTATGGTCATTGCTAAGTGCTGAATATATTCCATGTTCAAATTTGCCAAAATTAAAGAAAACTAAACATGTCTTTAGAAATATAGATGTGAGTTCTGATGTAAGAGTCCATTGTATCCATTTCCAATTTTAAAAGTATTTAATGTTTGGAATGGTTGTTGTCACATTTAGTTGATAAGAGTCTCTGATCACATAGGTTTGGCTTTTTCCTTATCATTTGGGATCACATAGGTTTGGCTTTTTCCTTATCATTTGGTGGTACTTCTATGGTTAAAACCAGCTTGAGTGTTGTAGAGTTACCATAGAAACCTGATATATCTAAGCAGCAGACCTGTTAGTATCAGTTGACTTACATTTGGATTTAGATGATTATTCTAACAGTAGCAAAAATAGGGAGAATTCAGAAAGATGTATGTTACCCCTGAAGATGGATACTCCAGACTGAAGCTTTAGAAGTGTTTTCCTTCCTCATCTGTCCAGTCCCCCAACACCATTAAAAAGATACTTTGATTAATTAACGTAACAATTCTATAAAGAAAACTTCAAACTCCTTGATATTATGTCTCAGACAAATCTTCAGTGGTAAAAATCTCGAAGTGGTTTCCTTTCAGAGTCATGATTTAGATACTGAGAAAAATGTAAACCTCAGGATTGCTAGTCTTATATTTTAGTATACCTGTTACTTCATTGAGGTGTGTTCCCTCTCTCACAGTACAAATCTCAATCTATCCATGCCTTTAAATTCTTTTCCATGACCTCCCATAAATCTTGGAGAACTAGAGAAAGGTCCGGAGCATGGGGGTTGGACTCTGTGTACAAGCCCCTCTTCCTTTCCCCCACCCCACCCCGACTCTACCTCATTTGCTTGAGTCTTAGTATTCTTCACTGGCAGGCCACTCTGCAGTCCCCTGGGGTGACTTATGGATCCTTTGGTAAAAGCATGGAGTGGCATCTCTCTCTGGCAAGTTTGACTGAAGTCGTAATACCCATGGACATAACATCAGTCTTAACATGCAGAGATAGACCCATGCTTGTAACGTTGGTTTCTCACCATAGAGATAGAGTACAGCAGTGTGGAGGCAGAGACACAGAGGGTGGCATATAGCAGTGCTCAGACCTTTAGAAAAAGTTCTAGGTTCCTTTTCCTTTTGGAACCTCCATCTGGGTCTGTTCATCCAGGTTTATTATGGAAATAAAGAGGCTCTTACCCCGGAGAAGGTTCTTGTCTTTGGCTGCTTTCTTGATCTCTTGTTTAGGCCCTTTCACTTCCATAGATCAAGTTTAGTATGCTAAAGGGAACCTTTTTTATGTTGTTATAAAGTCCTGGGCAAGTTGTATGAATAGCTAGGAGAAGCAGGCATTTATGTCTTTGTATCAGAAGTCCAAAAGGCACAAGACCTCTGCAGTCCTAGTACTCCAAAGCTCAGGTTCTGAGCCATCAGTCTAGGGCTGCCATGACTGGCTCTTTAGCCAAAAGCACCAAAGATCGTACTGAACCTCTTCTGAGATTTTGTTGGTGGAAGCATTCCAAGAAAATCTATCCACCTGTGATTATTTTTCCCCAAGACTGAAGATCATCTCTGTTGTGTTATGAAAAACTGAATATCTTAAAAATCAGAACTCCTTACTCTTTTGGGAGAGAGAACATGGTTAGGTACGAAGACTCTAGAACATAGTTGAGAAATAGCTGAACTGTAGGTAGATGAAAATTGGAACTCTTCCAACTCCTGAGTTTTATGTTGTTGGTACCTGAAAATGAGAGTTTGGCCAGAAAGAATTAAAGCATTGGTTTTTAGTAAATATCTCAAAGATTTTCTGAAGTTAGGCTGTTGCATTCTTGGGAGTGAACTTCTTGTTTTTCCTTTGAAGGTGAGCATTCTTTGGAATCTCTGCACTGCACCTCACTGAATTCCTTTTGTTGGCAGAAAGAAAAAAGGGGCAAATTGTAATAGATATTGTTGAGGAGGGCAAGAAAGCAGTTCTTTTCTTTTGTCTCCAGAACAGAACAAATCATAGAGTGCTCAGCATTAAAACTGACTTCAGTTTTGATTTTTTTTCTTTTTCATTGGATGCTGAAATTCGCTTTCCCTCAACCTTTCTTTCAGGGCTGCTCCTTGAAGGGCATCAGAACAGGGGGAAAAAAAACCCAACAACAGTTTAGTTAGCGGTCCACTAGAGGAGCTTGGATCGTAGACCTGAGGGTTTGACTTCTGTGGGGTGTCCGTATTCTTCTTACTCTGGTTCAGACACAAGATTTCTATTTTCATTAGTCTTCTTGATGAGTCACTTCAGGAGGAAGATTCTTGGGAGTCTGTAAAACCTTTCTATGAATCAGAAACTGGCTTTTACTCCTAGGCAAGGACCTTTAGTGAGGAATAATAGAAATTAGTAGGTAAAATCCCTACAGTTTGATAGGTGAGGACTTCCTTGCTGTTACAATAACTAATCTTAGTAAACAAAAAAAAAATTTGAATGAAAAAGATAGTTAAGTTGAAATGTAATACTTCTCTCTCTCCTAAAGATAGCCTAAGGAGAGTTTGCTTCTTACCTCACACTCATAGTATTAAATCATGATCTCTCCCCAAAACCCTTCAAACAATGTTGGGTACAAATCCAGGAGGCAGAGAAGTAGGCTTAAATCAGTTGCTCCTCAACAGACCAGTTTCCAGAGTGGTTAAGTATTGCCACAGCCAGAAGGTAGATCAGCCCATAGGGCTGTGCCTGAGGAGCTAAAGCCAAAGAGAGAAAACATATCCAAGGAACAGAGGCCTCTGGGTGACATCCTTGGCAGGGGCCATAAGACTCCTTTCCTTTAGTTAAAAATAAATTCCTTTTCTTGGCTTAATGAAATGCTTCAGAGGCACCTTTGTTTTTCTGCAGCAAATGAATTTCTTTTAGAGCCCTACCAAATTGTCCCCTCTTCAGTTGGATTTTGTTGAAATTTTATTTATGCCCCATGATTTCATGTGCAAGGGCAGTGTGAGGAGGCAAGCCAGGTTTTCCCTCATCTTGAAGCTCTGGGATGATAACTGTTGCTTATCTGAGTGATGGAGAGCACCCTCTCAATGTTCCTTCTCTTGCTAGGTGTGTCCCTAATCCTCTGGCTTCAATTTAGGTGTCAGAAGCATCCATAGCTACCCTCTTTGGGTGTCGGTCATTGTGCCTTGGGCTTTGGCTTGGGCTCAGCACCTCTTTTAGGTTCCTCTCTGAAGAGAGTATGAGAGTTGGGGCATGGCAGTTGGAATCTGGAGGCTAGAGAGCTTTAGGGTTCCATGTCTTCTCTTGTTCTCAGCACCCCCAGACATTGGGAGAAGTGAGAACCATTTTGAAATTACATGAGTAAGTATGTAATATATGGACCTTTGGATGGCGTTCTTAAGGGGAAAGAAATGGGGAAAAGGGTTCTATCTGGGGACTAATGCCATTGGGTGTGGGCTATGTCAATGGGCAGCTAAATGATGCCCTAGAAAAGTGAACCATAGGGAAAATATCCAGCTTTCCTCTGAGGTGGTCCACCCTGATTACAAGAGTTTTCTGGGATGGTCCTCTTCATGATCCCAGGTGACCTGGTGCTTCTTCACCTCTGGGCCTGGATTCAGCTCACCTCACTATCCTCACTCTTGAAGCCCCTTTAGGGTTTACTGGCAGTTAAGGAAGAGCTCAAAGGAAAGGAGTGTGCACAGTTCCTTAGAAGTTACTGTAGAAGGTAAAAGATGAAACCATTAGGACAGGAAGGTGAGGCTGAGGAAAGTGGGACAGGGACAGGTGGGGTAGATGGCATATGGACCTTCCAGGAAAAGCTAATCTCTAAAGAGGAAACAGCTGAAAGAAACCCAGTGTCAAGCAGAGGCTGAGATTGGGTTCCATGCCCCAAGGGTCAGTCCCTGATGTCCACCTGTAGCTGTAGACTCCTTCCCTGGTTTGGTTGCCATAGTAGAAATCCGTCTCCAAGCCGTCGTTCATGCCTACCTCTCCAGATGTTCTCCTCCCAGCAGCCCCAGCGATTGCCCCTGCAGCTGCCCCTGCAGCAGCTCCAGCTGAGGCAGCAGCTGCCACCCGGAAGGCTGAGCCCGAGGAGCTGTAGCGTGGGGCAGACTTCATCCGCATCCGGCTATTGCTGCTGCTGCTTCGGCCCCTCCCACGTGCTGCTCCGCGGGCTCCACCGCGGCCTCCTTTGCTGGTGACGTTCTCACAAAAGAAAGCAGCTAGCAGCAGAAGGGTCCAGCACATTATTGTTGCCCAGTTCATCTTCAGAACTGGAGCCTTGGAACCTGTGAGAGAATGGAGGTATGAAGTTATGAGGCTGGGCCCACTGGCAAGTGGAGGAAGGGCTAGTGCAGTGGTGGTCAAAGCAGAAGGAGCAGCCCTGACCCCTTAGTCTTGGCTCTGCTCAGGGCCTGTCGTCTAGTACTTGTTCAGAGAGAAGGCAGACTTCCACTGGGAAAGACAGATCAGATCCCAGGGTATTGTATTCAAGTCCATCCAAACAACAGTCAGTCTATGTTTTGGTTTATGTAGGGATGAGGATAGGCTTGTAGTTGGGCATGCTGTTTTTTCCTCCCTCCCTCTTTCTGTCAGTGTCCTTCAAGGGTGCTCAAGTTGTCAGCTTACTTTCATGATTATTCCCTCATGTACCGCCAGAAATGTCATCCTCATCTGACCTGATGACATCTTGGGCCCTCTTATATGTAGCGTGTAGCATAGTCGGTGTTATATTCATTGATATACATGCCATATCTCCCCTACTAGAGTGTATGCTTCATGAGGACAGGGACCATGTCTTCTCTCTCTAGCTCTTCTAGTGCCTAGCACCGTACATAGCATATAGGATACTTATTACATTGTGCCCTCGTGACACTTACTGCTTAGGTTGAATTCTACCAAATTGCAAACTCCTTCAGGGGAAACAAAAAAATCACAGCTATGTAATTAAGAAAATGAGCCCAAACTTTGGAACTTTAGATGAGTTCCAAAGGACCCAGGAGAGGACTTTGGACACAGGTGGTGGTAAGTAAGTACTTGTTGAATTTTCTGCATTATGGGACTTATTTGATTCTGAGAAAACCTGCAAGGTAACTGTTGCAGATTCGCCCTAAAGAGAATGATAAGAAGTGAAATAGCCCCCACCCTGAGCATTCCTGCCTCTTCATTTTGGTCCCTGCTACTTCCACACTAGGTCTCTTGACAATTATAACCCATTAAGATGTATTTGAGAGGCTTAGTAATTGGCATTTATATAATGCTTTAAAGTCTACCAAATACTTTAGATCATTGTCTCATCTTAGCCTCCCGATAGCCCTGTGAGGTATGCACTGCAGGTATCATTAGCCCCATTTCATTGCATAAGGAAACTGAGGCTCGGGTTAAATGACTTGCCCAAGGTCACAAAGCTAGTGTCAGAGGAGAAATTTGAACTCAGGTCTTCCTAATTCCAAGCCTAGTGCTCTCCTACTAGGAAAACTCAATTTCCTTAATCTTGAGTGTGCTCCCTTTGGAGCCTTTTTGTCTGCTTGGAAAATGGATATATTTCTATCATGGCAAATGAGGCATATTTCCAGGGCCCCTGACAGTTCCTTTACTGGAATCCCTGATTGAGGGAGGAGGCCACTTGGTCGCCCTGCTCCATTTCCTCGGTGGGGGTGGAGGCACATTCTCTCAACTGTTCAACTCAACAAAGCTTTGGGGTCAACACTTCCCCTTCTCACTCCTTACTCCTTAGATGCTGTGCCTCACCCCACTTTCCCAGCTGCATTCCAGTCCAGTAGTTTTAAGAAAGAAATGCAGGCAACAAAGGTTTGACGTGGACAGTATTGGCTTAACAGCAAACATCTGGTCTCATACACTTTATATAACCCCTACCTTCCCTTCAGGAGCTGCAGAACACTATTTCGTCTCCTAAGGGATCTTTGGAAATAGCATTAATTTCTCTAGGAACCACTTCCCAGGAGAATCTTCCACAACCAGCCTGAGTGGGGGAGGGGAAGTGAGATTATGCTTTCTTCTCACCCCTCCTTTTCCAGCAGGGGTAGGTAAAATTGGGGGGTGGGGTAGGTAGGAAGGGAGAAGAAAGCAAACATTGGGGCTCCCATCTAGCTCCAGAATACTCCTCCAAACAATGGCTGTTAAGGACTCACATGGAGTGGTCTGCTGCAGGGTCCATTTTGGGAGTCCTTAAAAAAGGTGGGTAGGAGAAAAAGTGATGAGGAAGGCTGTCAAATGAAGGAATGGAAGGGACTATGGAGAGAACAGGACGGAAGAGTGAGGGAGAGGTAGATGGAACGGAAGAAGAAAAGGGGTGTCTGGAATGGAGAAGGAAGGATGGGTTTATGAACATAGTGCTGTAGGAGGAAGAGGATTTGGGAGCAGAGGTTGGGAATCAAGAAGGGGGAGAGATGATGAGAATGACTGGAAAGGGGGTACAGTGAAGGGCAGAAGAGCCTAAAGTGGGAAATACGATGGAGAGGAGAACTGGAATAGGGAAAGAAAACAGGGAAAGAGATGAGAAGGAATGTAGGGGCATGGGGGAGATGGGGCTGGAGCAACAATTAGGGGAGGTTGCTAGCAGCGCAGGGAAGAGAGATCTCTTCCACTATTCTTTCCCTGTACCCCCCCCCCCCCCGATATTAGGCATTCTTCCCTCCAACCCTGCCATTCATGCATTAATTCCCGGACCTCTCCTGTCACCATCCCTGGACTCTTTAACCCCCACACATCCTTCTGTCCCCATCTCCCAGTGTTCCCATCCCCACTTCCCCATTTTTATTGCGACCTCTCTGTAGTCCATCTGTGTCCCTAGTAGCTTCCTTTTCCTTTCCCCCTCCCATACCCCTTTCCTGGCCTCTTTTCCTTGCCCATCCCCCTACTTTCCTTGCCTGGTCCTTATAGTTCGGAAAGCAGGTTCTGAGGCTGGAAACTGATCTGAGTCAGAAGCTGAGCGGTATAACGGGGAAAAACCCTGAATTTTCAGAGAACCTGTTTGTGTGCTTTTGGACAAGTCACTTGCCCTCTCTGGGCCTGTTTTCCTCATCAGTAATATTAGCAGATTGGAAACCTGGATAATCTCCAAAATCCCTTTCGGTTCGAAATCCAAGCATCCTCCTGCCCGATTCCTCCCCCTCTCTTTTCCCCTCAGCTTTCTGATGGTGAATCGCTTACCCAGCGAACGCCGAGATTAGACTTCCCTTTAGGGAGCTGCCGCTGTCCGGGGATGTGGTGCTTATCCTGGGAACCCTACCCCAGCAGATGGCAGATTCCAGACCTTCCTCCTAGATGGAAGAGAGAGCGCAGAAGCAGTGCTGGCTCCCGGCTTTCTGCTGCATCTGAAGGACTCCTCCCCAAATGAGGGGGTGGGAGGAGGGTGAAGGATTGAGGCTCAGCCCTCTTGCCACTTCAGGGGTGGGCAGGATCTGCAGAGCTCAAGTTCCCACCCTCTTCTCCCCACTCTGGCAGTCACTGAGCTCTATCCTCCTGGCATCATCACCCTGTGTTTGAAATGACACCTCTTCTTTAACCTAGGATCAGCTCACATGGATGTGGAGCAGAGTCCTATTTTTAGAAGGTGAGTTAGTTTTGATAGGTTGTGCTAGTGACTTGTGTGGGTTTAGGAGAGGATACCCTAGAGAATGAGAGGGAAGCACAGCTAGGATGTGAAGTATGTAGTGGAGGCAAAGTCTACTACAATGCCTAGTTAGCACAATGCCCTGTGAATGGCAAGTGCTTAATGTTTGTTGAATTAAATCGAGTTCCTTATCTGTGAAATGGGTATATTCCTTGCACTACATACCTCAGGAGGAGGTGTTTTGTGAGAAAAGCACTTTGTAAACTTTAAAGTTGTCTAAAAGGATGAGTTATAAGTATTACTATATTGTCTTGAATAGGAAGCATTATGTTAGTGAAATAGCACTGTATATTTAAGCATAATGTTGGGAAGCTGTAAGCTAGATTATTAAATGTCAGTTTCCTGAGTATCCTTCCTTCCTACCTTCTTTTCCTTCCTTTTTTTCTTTCTGAGATGGATGGGTGAAATTAAAATTGGAGATGGGGGCATGTTTGTAAGCAGTAGAGATGCAGATAGTAGTTAGGGAAAGATCAAATGTAAGTGAGAGAAGAGGGATGGTAGAGAGGACAATCTTCCAGAGAAGACGGGATAGAATGGGATTGCTGTGCAGTGGAGAGGTATATCTCTGCAATAAGAGGGGTATCTTTTCTCTTTATGTGAGACAGAGGTAAAAGAGGATATAGTGGCAGAAGCTATCGATGTGAGTTGAGGAGAGGAGAAGAGGGAGCCCTCTGCAAATGGCTTCAATTTTTTTTTTTCAGTAATATATATGAGGCAAGGTTCTCAGCTGAAAGTGAAGGGGGTAAGTGAATGGGGAGCATTTGTTCACTTTGTTCAACAGTACCCTAAAATGTCTGAGTATCATGGGCTATTTAAGTGTTTTACATTTCCTGTGTTTGTTCATGTGCATCTGGGAGTCCTTTGAAACTTATGAATTTTCTGTGGTGGAGGAAATAAAAAAACTATCTCATAGCCATATCCTTTCTACCGTTGTGGAAGATGCTATTCCCCACCGATGAGGAAATCCTAGACATTGGCTGCACCTAAACTATTTTAGGGATTTCCTTAGAGTCAAAGAATGTAGAAAGGGAAGAAAATAGAAAGGGAAAGAAGTAGAGTCAAAGAGAAAAACTGACAAGATTGGGGTTAGCCCCCAGGCTTAAGCTTGCTTCTTGTAAATCCCTTTCAGCAGTCCTGGGGCCACTGATGACAATCTGGAGGCAGCTATCATACATCTCGAAGTTTTCTATTCTGCAGCTCAGACAGGCAGCTAGGGTTTGCAGTGGGTAGAGTGCTAGACCTAGAGTCAGGAACACCTGAATTCAAATGTAGCCTCAGATGCTTACTAGCTATATGATTCTGGGAAACTCACTTAACTTCTATATGGCTCAGTTTTCTCAACTGTAAAATTGGGATAGTATCTGCCTCCCAGGGTTGTTGTGAGGATCAGATGAGATATTTGTAAAGGGCTTTTTCCAATGAAGCTCAAACTGTTTTACATTCCTGAGTCCCAGAACTATATTACATATCTCAAAGAGACTTATGGTCAGTCAGTCAGTCAACAAGCCCTTATTAAGTGCCTCCTATGTGTCAGGGACTCCTGAAGAAATAACCGGGCATTATCAACTTGGGTTTCAAGAGCAAGAGAATCAGTCTCCTGTCTCATTTGGTACCCCTGACCCCTAACTCCGTGTCTATTGCCTAGGCCTTCACTACTAAATATGTCCAAAGGAGGTGGTATTAATTCACAAACTGGATAAGGAGCTCTGTTTTGATGGGATGTAGCTAGCTATAGTGTGGCTCAGTGGAACCTCACAACAGTGGATAGAATGCTGGGCCTGGAGTCAGGATGACCTGAGTTCAAATCCAGTCTCATATACTTACTAGCTATGTGATCCTGGGTGAGTCACTTAACCTCTGTTTGCCTTAATCCTGGAGAAGGAAATGGCAAACCATTCCAGTATCTTTGCCAAGAAAGTCCTATGGACAGTGTTGGTGTGCTATTGTCCATGGGATCACAAAGAGTTGGACATGACTGAACAACAATAGTGAAGTATAATAAACTGAAACCCCTTGGAAATATGAGGGCAGAATCTGTACTGTTTCATTTTTTGTCTTTGAATCCCAGCACCTAACACAGGGCC